CAGTATTAATGATGCTATCTTGTGCCTTGACAGAGGGCTGTACATGATGCCTTGTGGGGGTTGTGTACCTGATTATCTCAGGCCATGTGTGTCTGTAAATTGTTGCAGTTAATTGCTCCTGTAGGGCTGTGGGGAGACGGGTTTCCTGAGTTCAGGATGTGTGCATGCACTCTCTGATTAGATGAAGTAATTCTGGCAGCCCTTTTTTTACTGGGAAACGGTACTGGGATGAATGGCTAAAATCAGAATCCTTTCCTGTGCTTGTCAGATGTGAGGATTTGCCAGTATCTTGGTTCGTTTAAATTTTATTTTCCTTTTTTTACTTAGGTGAGAGCTCAACCTCTTCTAATAAAGCAGTGTTCAGGAACATAATTGATGGGAGACTTATACAAGGTATGTAAATACAGCACGGAAAGCTGTCTGAATGAGCTTGTTCCGTACCTACAAGGTTTCTGTGGACAAGCACTCGCCTCTGTTCGGTAGCTTAGCAGAGCATAAGGACAGCCTGTTCTGATGGCTTGTGCTTACAATAACTCCAGGATTTAAATTTTTTTTTTTTTAAGAACTTTTAATATTATGCCAAGCCATACAAATCCTTTTCCTTGTTTTCCCCTGAGGTAATGAGATTCAAGTCAAGGTAGAGATAAATCGAGTGCTGACTTGCAAATAAATATGTGAATGGTTTTGCTTTTCACAGCTTATAAATGATAGCTGCTGGAGCTTTGTATGTTGTAGGTTAAATGTGCGTAGTAATCCCTTAGGACAGATTCTGGTTTTGCTGTAACTGTACCATGGATTTCAGAAGATACTCCAAAGAGCCCCAGATTCAATTGTTTTTTACGTTACTCACTGTTTCTTTGGAAGCATAACTTCCACATTTTTGTGAGTGCATTGTGGTCACTGCTGGTGTGTGGAGTCTGGTTTCCAGACTGCAGTGACCTGAGAGTTGAAAACTTCTCTGGAGGTCACAGTTTATTCTTCGTTGCTGCGTGAGGAGTGGCACAATAACTTCAGTTATGCGCAGGTTTGAATTCTTTTGGTTAGCTGATTTATGAGTAGTTTTCTTATGTCGAGTAAATTGGATCATTTGTTGCTTCTCTTGGGGCCTCTGAAATTATGGGCACAAAGATTCACAGACCCCAGCGGTTTTAACGAGGGTTCAGTTTGCGTCCTAAAACGGCTCAAAATAGCAGGGCTGCCCTGCGAGGAGGCCGTTAGGTTTGAGAAGGATTGGACTTTTCTGTCTTTGCCCAGGTTGTGTAGGCTTGGAAGCAAAAAGCTGATGGAATAACGCTGAATAACACGGTAAGACTTTTTGAGCTCAAAGATCCAAAAAGTAGTTTTTAGCCAAGTAACTAGTGTCAGAATTAAAGTCACTGATGGGTGTTTATAGCTGATCAAATTATTTGGAAAGGGATTGCTCAGCACTGCAGTCTGCAGAGTCAGTCCTTTCTGGAAGAACATGTAAATAGTCCCCCAGCTGTTCTGTGGAACCTGCTTCTAATGACCTGCAGCCAGGGCTGGAGCTCAGTGTTAAACTTCCTTAGAGATTAGTTTACTTGTGTGAAAACCCAAACCAGGTTGAAGGAAAGTCTTCATTTTAAAAGCATATAAACTAGAGGGAAATTGGAACTGCTGTTGACAAACTAGTGCTTCTCCTGCCATGGCAGAATAACCTGAAGGGTTTTTTCCCCAAAGCGTGTTTGGCATGTATTGCAGTAGAACACTGTTTTGGTTTGGGGTCTTGCTGGTTCTGTTTTAGCAGTGTTGTCGAGGAAAATTTTTGTTTAAGAGGTTGGTAGTTGGCTTTAGTTTAACTTGTGTCATTAATCTCCCCAAAATATACACTGGATACTTGATCTAGAAAGTTCTGCATTTTGTTACCTCAATGAGGTTCAAACAGAATGATCAGAAGGAGCATTTTTGTTTGCAGTCCAGCGGGCCGGCAGTGGGAGCTGTGCAGGCGGCTCTTTTTCCTTCCCCTGAAGAGTTCCCCTGTTCATATCAAGAGCATACTTAAATTTCTGGTGCAAGACCACAGCTTAGCTTGGAAAGGAAGAATCAAGTAGCAAGTGAGATTATTAGACTCTGATTTCTGAACTAGCAGAGCCAGTGTGTGCTCTCTGTGCTCTCACTGCTGGCACTCCAGGGTGCTCTGACATGGAGATAGCTGCAACTTTTTCTCCGCTTCAGGTGAGCTCACAGCAGAGTCTGGTGCAGCTGCAGCACAGAGCTTGCTCGGAAGCAGATTTTCCATAGATGCCGTCCATAGCGAGGTTCATGTGTCATGCTTCTGTGCTGCTCTTTCGAACAGGAGCTTTAGTTCACCTCAGTCTATTGATGGTTGTCAAACTTCACTGATTTAGGAATATTATTTTCAATTTTTACTCTAATGTAGGAATTTGTGATAGTCAGACTGCTGTGGTCCTTATTTTGATTTGCTCTTCGATAAAATGCAGATCTGGGAGCTGCAGGGCCAGAGCAGGTATCCTTGCGCTGACCATGGCTGGGGTGAAGGGAGATTGGTTTTGGGGTACTCTCTGGCCGTGTCCCTCTGCGGGAGCTGACAGCTGCTGCGATCCCCACATGGCCTCAGCAGGGGCCAGCGCGAAGGGCTGCTGGGGCAGCAGATCTGTCATGGCTCTTCTGGTCTTTGCCAGGAACACCTCGAGTAAACACATCGCTCTGATTTGACACTGGTGTCAGGCTGCTGTTACTGAGTGCAAGAGGAAGTACTTACACTTTGTAAGACATTTTGTAGGATTATTACTTTTTTTTTTTTTAATAAACTCATCTTGCTTGAGTTTTGGAGCTCAGGACCATGGATTGTAGAGCTGGCTGAAGGATAAATAGTTTTTTTTTTTTTTGTTCCCTGATAATGAAGGCTGTTGTGAGCAAATAAAGTAGCAGTTCAGCTGCTTCTCCTAAACTGAATGTTTGTGCTCACCAACACTAAATGGATGACAAGATGCCCGGGCAGGAATGTTTTCTCTAGTGAGGTGCTATCTTATTTGCTTTGGGTCTTACAGCAACACAAACCCTAGCAGTTTCATTAAATGCTGACCAGGAAGGAACAAGTAAATTTTTGTTTCCCTACCATAATTATATAGAGCTTTCTACAAATGCTTTTACAAAATATTTAATATTTGCAAGTTAATGTTTTGTAAACGCTGTGTCATAAACTGGAACTCCTGTAACACGTTTTGCAGTGCCATGCACACATCTAAGGTACGCACATAAGCCGTTTCACTTGTTTTCAAATGCTCTTAGTGTTTATGCTCCCTGTGTTACAGACAGATGTGAAGACAAATCAACTGCTTTTGGTAGAGACATCTCTGCTGTGTTTTCCTCTCTGAACTGGCAAACTGTGGTGCTACGTGGTACAGCCATCCTCAGTGACAGGCTCGAGAGGGAGCCATTTCAGCTGTAACATGTTGTTAGGTGGCTTTTCTTACAAGGCCGTGGTGGTTTTGTTCTGCTTCAACATCTGTGAAAGGTCCAAAATAACGATGAGTACTACTTGAAAGGCTTCAAAAGGAGTGGAAGATGGAAAGAGACAGTCATAAAGTAATGCAGGCCAGTTGGAAATGGGAAACAAATTCCTGGAAAAAAGGCATTGTGAGAACTAGAAATGTTCTTCATTTGACCCACGTCTTGGCATATAGAAATGTTCTTTACAGTGTTCTGGAATAAGAAACTCTTGGACTATGATTTCTGCTTCAGCAGAGAGCGTTGAGCACGTTTCCTACTTTCCTTTCCATATCTGGAAGAAAGGTTAGCTGTTCTTGCTTGCTGTGTGTTGTCTTAGTTCATTTTTTTGCAGTAGTGCTCTAAATACGAGAGCAGTATTCTTCTACAAAAAAGAATTCAGGCAGCTTTTTCTCTGGGTGACACCCGTGTGCAGTGGATTGTACCAAAAGTTTGTGGTAACATTGGTGCTTGGGTAATACGTGAAAAAACAAACAAAACCCAAGTGTTTAATCACAAAGCAAGATCACAAAAAGGGTTAGGGCAGGTTTTTTTTTCCTGGTGGCCACTGTGAAAGGCTGAATGTCAAAGGTCTTTGTAAGGTAAAAGGCAAAATCTCTCACGGATGTTTAGATGCACGGACATGATAACAGGAAAAAATAATTTAAAAGCATCTATGATGTGGTGTTCTTTGTTTGGCTTTTTTCAAAGAGTGCTAAGCATGATTTAGAAACACTAAACCTTGGAAACAACCTTCCCCCTTGGGTGAGAATAGGACTGCATCAGCACTTCAGAGAGAGTATCATCTTCATCTAGCCTTGAAACTCTTTTCCAATTAAGTAAACAGAAGAAATGAATAGCTTTAAATAGGTTTATTCTATGGGTGAACACAGAGTCAATGACATTCTTGCTGTTAGACCAGACAGTGACACGCAGTAATTTCTGAGGTTGGTTACTGTTTTCTCTTTTAAAACTTACACCCTCTAGCAGTGCACGGGAGGACACTGCGGTGTCGTTGTAGACCTGTCAAACCGCTCACGGCAGACTGGTGGCACCTTTGAAGACAGCAATATGGTGATGGATTAATTTGTCAGGAAAACAGTTGTTTCTCTTGGCTTGTGGATTCTCTTTAACAATATGGGAAAATATGTAGTCCTGAGTCCAGTGAGACCATACAAGTGAGCTGGGAGAAATTCCTTCAGTTGGCTCTGTGGACGTGGTGACAGCGACTAGTGTGTATAGCAGGAGATGGGATAGGGACAGGGGCGGTGGAGGAAGGAAGGAATAAGTAGACTTAAATGTTATTCAACCTTTCAAAATTTTAAAAACTATGTTCTACATGAAAGAACTCATGGTGCCGTGGGCGATGAACTTTGCAGTGTTTGTGCTCTGTTGAAACGCTTACGGTACGGTGGACATTCTGAGTGCAGCACGGGAAAGAGCTATGGGGGGCTCTGCTGGTGGTGGTTGGTGGCAGTGAGTACAGCGGTGTGCGTACAAAGATGCTTCAATGCCTTTTCTTCTCGTTTCAGGCTTGCTTCCTGATTTTGTAATTGACAAAGCTGAGACGGTGAAACCTGGCTGTTGAAGGGTGCAAGGTGTGAACCTGCTCAAGCAGGTAGGCACATGAGAAAATAAAACCTTCAGAAGTGGTAAAACTGCCTCTCTTGGGATCTGAAATATTCCTTCTGGTATCCCCTCTCTCCTGGGCATTCTGCAAGTTAAACTGTATGAATTTCATTCCCTTTTTCATTGGTAATGTTGCTGTGCAAAAAGGACCACGTCATGTATTACTATTACTTAAATGGGTTTTAAAGAAAAAACTCAGCCTTACATCTTGGAAAGTTTTGGCTTGTCTTTCCAAATAGCTGGTAAATCTAAGGGTAAAATAGAGCAATTTGTGAAATAATCTTCGGTGTCCTGGAAGAAGTAGTACCTACTTTTTTTTAATGTTATGTTGAGTGATTTTTTGTTTTACAACCTGGTGACTTATGGGACAAAAGGAATGCTTCCCCCTATATACCTTAATTGGCCAGATTACTAAATGTCATACTGCTGTAAATTGTTAAACCCCCGTATTCCACCCCCCACCACCCCGAACATCTGTGCTTTTGCTGAAGCATTGCGCTGATTTCGGTCAGTGGCCATAAAAGTTCTCAGTTACTCTGAATAATGGTGTTCTGAAGCCGTGGTAGCCAGTGAGTGTGGACAGCTTCCTTTGAGTTCTGCCAGGAGACTTGAAACGGGTAAAACATTAACTTCCCTGTCACTGTGTTCCTGACAGACCTTTGTCATCTGGACAAAGTCCATTGTGGTGGTTTAGTTGGGGCATTTGCTCTTCCATTGTTTTCACCTCTTTGCTGTGATGGATGCTGTGAGGATTTGGAAATGCAGAAGGTGAACTTTGCTTCTTGAAGTAGCCTCCAAATGTTAGGAAATGTTTGTTTTGAGAGTGAGAGGCTTTCAGGCTGTTGGTTGTCCATCTCAAGTCCCCCCTTATTTGTCAGTAGGGCTCATATGGATGGGGTCACAGAATCAGGCTGGATTAAGAATATTCTTGTAAAACAGCACATTTGTCACCTCTGTCATGACACGGATTACATTTGGGGGCATAGTGTCTTGTCCAGGGGAAAGATCTAAATGATAAGTTAAGGGAGCAGCTACCATTGCTTTCACAGTTTGCCTTTGCTTCGTTTACAGGAACCCCTTTCTTGAAAACCAGAGAGCGCCTTAGGATGTTTTAGAAGAAGAGGTTCTTTCAGAACCGTTTGTTTTGCTTACCCGCTGAACTCATTTTATCTGAGTCAGTCCTTTAGAACAACTAAATGTATACTGCAATAAGTTCACAACGGCAGTGTTAACACAGGGGAGCTGAAAGGACTCCAAGATTTAGTTTGTTTAACCTTTTGAGTGCTGATAGAGCATTGCGACTCAGGTTCTATTCTAGTAGGAGTTACCTCACATGTTAGGAATGAATTCACTTTAAAAACATTGACAAAGATAAAAAAAACTTCTAAGTTGGAGCCTTTGGCACACATCACACATACCAAACTAGTGTTTGGCTAGCAAGTGCTGTGGGTCAAAGTAAAATACAGAGACACAGCTCAAAGCAAGTGAAACTTTTAAAATCAATTTTGGGGCCTTCTCGGGACATAAAGGGTTACTGCTACTGCTGCTCTATGTGGTCAGTCGGCTCTAACCGTCTGCTTTTTCTGGGAAAATGATTCATTTCAGAAGAGACGCAACAGAGAGGAGCTGTGGTGGAAGCTGTTTTAATCGTATTAGCTTATTAAAATATTTCAAGCAGTACTTGAGTTGAATTGATGTCGCCTCTTTGCTATAGTGAAAGGGAAGGATGGGAACAGGGAACATGATTTTTAAAATCAAAGCCAGTTTCCCACTTCTGGAAAGTCCCAGCAGTTGCTCCTGTGACGGGCATCGTGCTGTTCCTGAAAGCGCCCTGGCCGGAGCTGGAGTATTTGGTAACCATATATGTAACGTGGCTTTGGAGAGCAGCTGAAAGTGAAGCCATTGCAAGTCAGTCCACTGGAATGTGCTTAAAATGGACACAGCAGCACAGCACGCAGTTGGTTGTGTTTATATACCTAAATGTCTCTATTCTTCGTCAGTAGGTGGGAAAAAGGATACACTTGTACCAGTATAGTTCATTTTTTCTTTATGGCTCGTATTCATCGGTAGCTTCTGCTGAAAAGTTTGTTGATAACTTTTATGCAATACTCAGTTAATGCAATTTTTGTCTTAACAATCCTTTTCCTAATTCCCAGAGCAATCTTTGTTTTTTCCCCTCTTCTAGAACGTGGGCGATGAGCATTGCAGAGCGTTTGTTTCACAGATGCTCAGGTTTTGGCAGTTTGCTGTCAAAATGCCTCTGTTCATTTCATGGTTTGCCATGCTTTTTAGCCACTGAAATAAAAAATGAAAATAACTTACAGTCTGTGGGTTCATTAACCTGCAGATCCCCTAGATATATCCTGGAAATGCAAAGACAAATTTTAAATCTCTGTGCTACCTCTGCCTGGATCTGGGATAACTGTATGGTGGATGGTTTTGGAACGGGTTTTGGAAAATGCGGTCATTCATGTCACAGGAAGTCTTAGTGACCTGCCAGTGATGATTTTGAAAGGATGAGGGTAGGTCACAAATCCTGAATAAGAGGATAGAAGAGTGTAACAGCAAGCTGCCTTGTCAGTGCACCGGTTAAACCTGAGCTCAGATTTCCTCGCAGTGTCACTGGCAGCCTTCAGTTTGCTGGTGTGGGTGTTCAGCCTAAAGCTTCGAGTGAGGGTTAGTGTTGGTTTTCCCGACTCAGAGCGCAGAGGGACAGGTCTGCAGAGAAGTCAGTCAAACGTGACCAGGTGTGCGTGAAAATCTGTGCAACTCTGAAACGAGCTCTGCAGAGTTATGAGTATTGCTTCAGTATTCTTGTTTTCTAACGCTCGGGGTGTTTGCTGACAAATAAAAAATCTATTTGGTTGTAATCGGGAGGTGGTGTGTCTGGACTTTCCTCTGCTTATAGTATCATTTTTCATGCATTCATTTCATTCAAAATTCCAAAATGTCAGTAACACTGGATGCAAATACCTTGGAGTGGTAAGTCAGTAAGGTAAGATACTTTTTCAGGAACTGTGATTTTGCTGTTGAACGTGCACAGATACAAGCAGAACTGTAAATCTACCAGTACACTGAATATTCTCTTTTCTCTGCCCGAATTACTTACAGGTATGCAATATTTTACTGACTTTGAGAGGGTAATTTCTTCTTGATGTAATTTCTTGTAGAAATTTGTAAGGAATTTTGTTAAATGCTAAATAAATTGCTTCTGATATTGTGAATTAAACATTTGTATTGTTTAAAGAGGGCAGAATTTCTTCTCAGCTTTGTCAGCTACCTCTGGAATTGCAGAGATCAAATCTTGATACCAGCTGCTAGTGTGGAGTACTCGACAATCCAAACGCTTCACTCGAACTAGCGCTTACCCCCTTTCCCAGCCCACCAGTGAAATCCCAGCCCACTGAAATTCCAGTTTCTAGGAATGGAAATAGAAAGGAGACTGGGAACTTAATCCGAGGAGTGATGGAGTGGAGTCCCCTTCCTCCTCGCCAAGTCAGGGGCCAAACCTGTCTCTGTGAGTATTTGGAAAGACGTCTGAATTATTTTGGCTGCAACAGAACTCCTTGCTGGATGATGCAGGCTTGTAACTGATCACAGCAACTGCACAAACGGCACAGGCAGAGAGGACACGTACGTCCAGGGTTTAACCTGAGCGTTCACAGCGAGGCAGATCGGTGCAAATTGTTATATTCGTGTCTCTTGGATTATCATTGGTGTTCGTGATTCCTTTCTGAAAATTTAGAGGAGAGTTTGGGGGAGTGAGGTGTTTGGGTTTTTGATGGTAAGCCCTTCCGTTTCTTCACTGCTCTTCACACCAGTGACAGATGGCGGTATTGACAGTGAAATGAAATGGTTTCTCTCTTTAAAGGTATTCTTGCTTAAGCTGGCAGCGTGGCCTCTGCCTGTTCTGGGTTTAGCATTAACCTGCTGCTTTCAGCTGTAGCACTCACATTGGTAATTACTCTGGGTTGAAAGCCTTTTATTCTTTTTGCAGATTTCCTTCTTAGACTGAAATAAACCTTCTATTCCTAGCTCTATGCCGTTCATCTGTTGTTAGGCGGCAACTTCAAACATTCACATTTCCAGTCTTATCAAGCTTCACATCAGTCTGTAGTTTGTCAGGCTGCCAGATGTTGCCTGTTTCCTCAAATCTGCCCCACGACTTCATTTTTCAAATACTTTCATTTCCCTGTTTCCTTCAGGTACAACTGGCAGGTGCTTGCAAAGATGTCTAAAACTAACAAATCGAAGTCTGGATCCCGTTCCTCCCGTTCGAGGTCTGGATCAAGATCACGCTCACGTTCCTTCTCGAAATCTCGCTCGCGTTCTCGTTCTGTCTCACGGTCGAGAAAACGCAGACTTAGGTAAGTGCGTGCAGCTCTGAAGCCAAGGGGTGTAGCTGTGTTTTTCCTCTCTGTCCTGTTCAGATGGTTTGTCACTTAATTCTTTTCCAGGGAAGGAGTTGATTAGATTCTAGGACAGATAGTGTCCTGTGTCTTGGGCTGTTTCCTGCCAACCTGTACTGTTTTGAAGTGTTTTCAGTGAGGTAGGAGAATAAATTGTGACTGTTTATCAGCATTGTCAGGATACTTCTTCTGAGCCCTTAGTCTGATCTCTGTAGCGTGTTTTTGGTGAACAATGATTTTTCTTTTCTGTGCAGGTCTTTTTCCACCCGCGTGAATACTAATGGATACTCTCCATTACAGCGCAGTTAAATCAGAAGGGGTATCAGTTAGTGCAGCTCGTTTTGTCAGGGAAACAGTCCACGTGCATGAGCATTGCTTCTGGTCAGGCCAGTTAAACGCTCGTGTCTTCCCTGGATACCGGGATATCTGCTTTTTCCTTTTCTTTTGGCTAAGCATTTTGTATCTGGCAGAGGCATTCCAGTTGGAGTGGGTATAATGATGTTCAGCTGTTCTTTCACTAATCTTAAATTAATTACACATTCTGAAAATCATTAGACTAAATACATGGAACTGTTAACAATTAGAGATATTTTAAATGCAGAGACTCTTAATAAATGTACAGTTGGAGAGAGAAGGACATTGCAGAACTAAATTAGAGGCGGAGACTTGAGTCAGGCAGTTCTTTGCAGAAGGAGGCTGGAGTGCTGGAAGATACGTGGTCATTTGGGAATATCTGCCTAGCTGTGAAGGAACTTGACAGTTGAAAACAAAGGCACCCTGTGCAGACATCATTGTTTCCTCTGTGCTGCTGCTGAAGCTACTTGTGCTTTGTAAAGAACTCCTTTTTTAAAAAAGAATCCAAATGGAAGGGGTTAGTACAGACAAGTCATCTTGCATGGCGTTAGGAAATTCTCTGAGGTAGGTCTCGTGGCATCTTCACATAAAAGTCCTTTATCATGTGCTTCAGCGTACATCACAACAATTGTTTTGCTCTTCACTTGGTAGGTTTACTGTTTGTTCTAGGTTGTGTTGCTGTGTTGGAGTCTGCCTAGTATTTCTTGCCTTCTTTATAACTGTATTTTTCCTTTTTACCTGCTGTAGAACTGGAGCAGCGTGCGTTAGCTGGCTAGGTACAGGGGCAGGCAGAGCTGAGTGTTTCTTTTTTTTTTCTTTCTTTCTTTTTGTTTGGAAAAATCCTTTTTTCTGTTTGAATTTGCTAGCTTGGACATTTTCTCTGTTTTACTAATGCAGATTTGCTAACGTCTCAGACTTTCAGCAGAAGTTTGTGGTTTTCCAACAGCTGGGAAATACTTACTGTAAAGCTGGCGTTCAATCCTGAGCTACAGTGGGGCTTTTAAACAGTTACACAACTGCAGCTCCAAAAATTTAATGGAAGAGACTATTGAAACAATGAGCCCTTAATGTTTTGCCACTGAAATCTGTATTCTCCCAGGCTTTGTACTGGTCTGGGGCTCAGCTCTGTTCTTTATGAGCGTTCTGCCTGATGCGGGGCGAGCGGAGGCACTGAACAGTGCCATCTCGTGGCATCAGGCCCGAGAGCAAGCGCATCCCTCTGCTGTCCTGCTTGTCTGGAGCTCCAGCTCCTCAATTGTGCCACGAAGTGCACCTTTTGAAACTTCAAACTCTAGAGCAGGGTGCCGTTTGCTCCAGTACTGCTGTTCTCCTCTTGAGGTGTAGCAATTTATTTAACTCACCTGGCAAAGAGGTGGGGTTTCATCTTGATTGTCAGAATTTCGAAAACACATGAGAATTTGGGACACAAGAGGAAGATTTTGGATCTGTTCCAATAATGGTACCATGACATCCATAAGGAAGTACTTCTTTCTGGAGGAGCTCTAAGGTGAGATAAAACCTTGACCTTGAGCTGTAGAGGGCTGGAAGTTTGAGATATGTCACTCTTTCTGAAGCTAGATAACAGCCATGTGCATCCTAGAAAAATGAAGAGCAGCGTGTACTCATCATGATCTCTGAAGTCAAATATTTGTTTTGGCAGTATCACAGGTACAAGTTATTTCCACTGCAGTTTATTGAGGGCAAAGTGTAATACCTCGAATGGATGAGAGTAAACCAAAGAAATTACTATTAAAGGTTAAAAATTAATTTTTCAAATTCTTTTTCATAAGACTTCAAATAAAAAGCTGTGACAAAAGAGTAAACTTTACAATATTTGTGTAATTTTTTTTCTTTTGTCAGTTCTAGGTCTCGTTCAAGATCATATTCTCCATCTCATACCAGAGAAAGGAACCATCCAAGGGTCTATCAGAACCGGGATTTCAGAGGTCATAATAGAGGATACAGGAGACCGTATTATTTTCGTGGCCGAAATAGAGGGTTTTATCCATGGGGCCAGTACAACCGAGGAGGATATGGGAATTACAGGTCAAACTGGCAAAATTATCGCCAAGCATATAGCCCTCGTAGAGGGAGGTCACGCTCTCGTTCACCCAAGAGAAGGTCTCCTTCACCAAGATCTAGAAGTCATTCTAGAAATTCTGATAAGTCATCTTCTGATCGGTCAAGGAGGTCTTCCTCTTCCCGGTCTTCCTCAAATAATAGCCGAGTTGAGTCTTCCAAGCGTAAATCTGGAAAGGATAAAAAATCATCTTCCAAGGATGCCCGGGCATCTCAGGCTGCAGGAGATAATCAAGGTGATGAGTCCAAGGAGCAGCCGTTTTCAGGAGCAGCAGCTCAAGACATCAAGGCATCAGAGGGATCAAAACCATGGCAAGATGTGTCCACCTATGGTACAGGCTCAGCATCGAGAGCTTCAGCGTCTGAGCTTAGCCCGAGGGAGCGCAGCCCTGCACTAAAAAGCCCTCTCCAGTCGGTTGTGGTGAGGCGTCGCTCTCCTCGGCCGAGTCCATTGCAAAAGTCGAGCCCACCGCTGTCCACCCCGTCGCAGATGAGCTCGGCTTTGCAGAGCAGCAGCAGCACCTCCTTTCAGGCGGGCTCTCATCAGAGTCCCTTTGACCATGGCTCGGGAAGTTTGAGCCCAACAAGGAAGAGCCCTGTGTGCAAAAGCCCAACACCAGTCAGTTCCATTTACAGTACATCTCAGAAGGAGGAGACCACAGCTCCTGGAGGAGGAGCCTTTTCCAAAAGGCAAGTGACGTGTTTGGTTGTGCTGCGGTATTTTTTGACGAGCCAGCTTGTGTGTCCAGGCACTGTCAGGATTCTGGGTGTGTGTGCAGGCTCCAGCTGGAGCGAGGCCGCAGCGTGTGCAGAGTGCTGTGCTAGCACGCTGCCAACGGTTTGGGCCCGTTAGTGTCTAAATCACAGAACAAAACACAGACCTAGCCCTGTGCTGTGCTGGAGGAAGGTGGAGGCAGTTTGCTGACTTGACTAGTTCTAAATATCGCGTAGGGCCCCTGCAGAAATGTTGCTAGCTTGTGAACACTTGCAGTGAAGATGTGCCCGATGAGATTTTCTAGCAGCCTAACAGTGCACGCTGGCAGCTGGCATTTCTAAGTTATTCACTTTTCAGCTAAAGACATTTTTCTAGTATTGCATTGTTGCATTGCATTAGATATTATAAATTAGCAACTTTTAATTAAATCTTACTGCATGTCCTGCTGCAAGCAGCTGAAGGCAGGTGTAGTTGCAGTGCTTGTGCCTGTGTATGTGGGTAATATGAGAAACTAAAGCTCCAAAATCATCACTGAAATGAAGACATCCTTGCACAGAGAAGGTATCAACTTACTGTGGTTCTGTTTGCTCGGTTAGTCCACTGCAGGTTCATGCCTGAAGGTGATGCTTTGTTTGAAAAGATACGGTAGCATTCACAGATGCTTTTAAATCTTTTATTTTCTTTATTATTTTTGGACTGATTTTATATCAAGGATGTCTGAAATTTAAAAAGCAATGAGAGAGCTATAACTCGTTTGGGCTTTTCGTGGCATGGACCTAATGTCCCTGGGCTTTACTGCTCTTTCCGCAAAGCCAGGGTTTTGCTGTAAAACATAACTCTGATATGCTGAATGGTTGTGCTCACTAGAAGTGTTTTGTCTTCTCCCAGCCAAATAAATATTCTCCTCTGTTAACCTTTTTGCTTTTATTTGTATTTACAGTCTGTCATGAAATATTTAGCTTACCTATGAAACTTGCATCCAAAATTTGAAGTAGCTTTTGAGGCTTTTATTTCCAGTGTGTTGTTTAAAGCAGAACAGCCCAGGTTGAAAGTTTTGATGTGTTGTTCTTCTGAACCAGGTTTGTAAGTAAATAAACCGATTGGGTAAGATGTTACTATTTTCCTTAAAATGAGTCTGTGGGTAAGCTGGGTTTTTTTGTTTGTTCTTAGGCCTCATTTCATCAGTTCTGCATATCCATTTTCTTCTGCATTTGCTGAATTTATTGAGAACTAAGTGTCTAAATCCAGGCGGAGTAATCTGCTTTACACTTTAACTGTTTTAGGGCCTAGAGACAGCTTTCTGTCTGTGTGTAGCTTGGTGTTCTCTAAAATTTGACAGCTGTCAGCTGAAGTATCAACCTCTTTGATTGCTAGTAAGAGAACTACTGTAACATCTGTTTCACAAACAGGTATCTGGAAGAGCAGAAGACTGAGAATGGGAAAGACAAAGAACAGAAAGTAACAAATGTTGAAAAAGAAAAAAGTAAAGAAAAAGGGAATTTCTCTGAGTTGGGATCAACAGATGGAAAGGCAAAATCTGATTCGTATGCATCCAAAGCCGACTCTGAGAAGGGATACCGCGGCAGCCAGTCGCCCAAGCGCTACAAGTTCCGGGATGATTTTGACAAGCTAAAGGCCCCGGAGTTCCACAAGGAAGGTCATTATAGCAAAGAGGAAACAGATGACCAGGAAAAGAAAGACAAGGCAAAGGGCCGAAAAGATTCAGATTTTGATGATGAGACCAAATTTATGTCTAAAGTCGTGGCAACTTCAAGTAAAAGTCAAGAAGAGGATAGGGCAGGAAAATGGGAAGGGGTGGTGTTCTTGCCACCTGGAAAAGAGAAGCAAAGGAAACCTGAGGAGATGGAGGAGGAAAGCTATTCTGAGAGATCAAAAAAAGAAGAGAGACCAGCATCCAAGAGAGCTGAACCGGGTCACAGGGGGTTTGTTCCTGAAAAGAATTTTAAAGTGACCACTTACAAATCAAGCCAGGAAAAGAGTTCTTCCCCCCCACCAAGGAAGACTTCTGAGGTAAAGGAGAAACCAGGCACCAAAGTAGAGGGCCTGGGTCCTGGCAAATCCTCCTTTTCCATTACTCGTGAGGCCCAGGTCAATATTCGAATGGATTCCTTTGATGAAGATCTTGCACGGTAGGTATTTGCTATTTTTTGAAAAGTCTAAATAGTGATTTTTTTCTTTTCCTGTTTCTCCTCCTGAGATCCTCACGTGCTTACCAAGTGTGAGGAAGGCTAAATAATATTGCATCATAATTTGCAGTTTTTGGAGGTAGAGATTAATTTTTTTCTGGCATTATAACATGTGTGACCCTTTTTTTGTGTTGGGAAGTTAGAGGGGTTACCAGTTTGCGGATGGTAAAAGTATAACGTGAAGGTTAAACAACTTTTCCTAATCTTTTCTGCGACGGGATATAAGGTTAGTTCAGAATGTAAATGCTTCTGCATCAGGTTCCACATTACGCCAGGCTCTGGAAAGAGTTAAGTACGCGATGGCTTCGTGCTGCTAGGAGCTTAGCGGCAGGGTAAAGTGACAGTTCAGCTTCAATGGCCTTTGTTTCTCTAGAGTGTGTTTAAGTGCTGCTGTTCTCAACATAGCATTGCTGGAACTCTAGGAAGCTCTGCCAGCCCCTTCAGCATTGCTTCAAGAAGGCTTAAGACAGTAAAAAGTTATTCCAGAGAATCCATTTGTACAGCAGTAGGCAGTAAGTGTTAATATGCTCTGTGGGATGTTGGAGGTTAGTCTAGAATCGAAGAACAGTACCGAACCATCACAGCCAGCTCCTGCTGTAAGAACCGGCTTGTGTTTCACAGGGTGTCAGGGTTAATACCTGCACAGCCCTCCAAGTTCAGAATACCAGGGGACCTGAACTATTACAGTAGCCTAGATTGGAGTGTTTAGAGATGTTTAAATAAGCGTCCTGCTCATGTTACTTAAGTGCCTTCATAATAGTACATAAAAAATGCAGTCAGCTTCCAGCTTCTGACATATTAATAATCTTAAACTGCTTCACTTGACCCTGTTCCTCTGTTTCATGTGGTCTGTTCTTTTTCTAGTCCAAGTGGCATATTGGCTCAGGAGCGCAAGCTGTGTCGTGATCTTGTGCACAGCAACAAAAAAGAGCAAGAATTTCGTTCAATCTTCCATCACATTCAGTCTGCTCAGTCGCAGCGAAGTCCTTCTGAACTCTTTGCTCAACATATAGTGACTATAGTCCATCACGTAAGAGGTAGGTCAGAAGTCCACCTGTCCTCAAATTCACGTTCACTCCTCTCTTGCGCTCTAGTTAATGTTCAGAGAGTTGTTTTCCGGCAGCTGGACCGTAGATGAGAGCAGCAGCCCAATCATGAGTCTTCTTTATTTACATAAATAACTTATCTTCTGGAAAGGCAGAAGGGCCACTCTTGTTTTCACCTGAGCAATATTCAGAGATCTTAGAGTTTGTATATTCTGGTGAATTTGTGACTCGCTTGAATAAATGGACAATTTTGAGATTGAAATTGAAATTTGTCAGCAGGGTTAGTTAGAACTCATCCCCAGTGTCTTCATGTGTCCTGCATCTGAATTTGACTGAGCTGTAGGACTGATGTGCTTTGTCGCTTTACAAAAATGGTGTTAATGTTTTGTCATTGTTTACTCAAACCCCAACAGAGCATCACTTTGGGTCTTCAGGAATGACACTGAATGAACGCTTTACCAAATATCTAAAGAAAGGAATGGAGCAAGATGCAGCTAAAAACAAAAAGAGCCCTGAAATCCACAGGTTGGTGCCATCAGACACTGTCTTAACATTTCAGGGGTATTTCAGATTTCCTTCTCTTAAACTCTGGAATAATTCCAAAATAATTCAAATATACAACTAGCTTCAGCAAAAAAAAATTGAAAAATATGGGGAGTTTTAAGTACCTTTGGAGGTATTGGTCTACTTTAAATGACATTTGATCTAAAATCTTCAGATTCTTCTTACGAGCAAGATTATATCTGTGTACTTCCTTTACTTTTAGGAGGATAGATATATCTCCCAGTACTTTTAGAAAACATGGATTCTCTCAAGAGGAAACGAAAAGTTCCAGAGATCCTGGCTTCAAGGTGAACTGTTACTCTGATTAGTTTAATGCAACAAAATGAGTGTATTGGGCATGAACTTAACAGTGATGTTTGTGTTTAAATTACTCTCTACTTAAGTTTGTGTTTTTCTTTTAAGGATGGGCATAATTCTAAAAATGAACTACAAAGGGTTAATTTTTATTAAAAATGTATCAACAACCTTTGTGAAGTGGTTAGACTATGGTAAATGACCCCAAAGTCAATTGAGGTGAGCTTGAGAAAAAAGAGAGGATTTTTGGAACAAGTGCCCATGATGAGAGAAGAGACTTTTTGTGATATTTTTCTGCTTGTAAGTATTATTCCATCAATTGTATACATGCGCTATTTCCAACCATGTTTTCAAAAAGACATGCATGTCAAAAAGAGGAAAGTAAAACTAAATACTTATCTAAACCAAATACACTATTAAGCAGATGATAAATTTTGTTCTAACAACTTACTGTACCATTTCTGTTGATTGCTGTTAACTTTAACATTCAGCACTTGTTTTCGTAGATCCAGACCATTTGAAATCAGTGTGTTAGCTTTTCTGGGTAGATGAATGTTAAGCCATTGCACTTATTGTAAACAGTCATAAAAGTGGCTTAACTTTAAAAATGTTTGGGATTTTAACCTTTGTTTATTCACCTTCATACATATTTACGTTGAACATTGAAGAGATTTTTGAAACCTTACTTGTTTCATATTTGTTTTCGATTTTTTCCAAACACACTTGTGGCTTGACATGGACGATGGTGAGATGGATTTGATGGGCCTGAACTCTGAGCATCAGCTTGGCAGAGTGTGTTATAAACGTGGTTTCCAAACAGCTCGCCAGCCTTCCGTGAAACAGACGTGCCCTCACAAACCCGAATAGGTGTTTGCTGTACCACATAAGGGAGCTGCTGATGATTTTGTCACTTATCTGTCATCCATCGTGTTGGGAGCAGTTTTATTCTCAGAGTAGAAATTAAAGCTCTTTGCCTGGGGAAAGTAGAAGAGCAAAATACCAAAACAAAACGCCTGCTCTTACTCCTGCGTTATTTGACATATTTATGTAAACAAAAAAGTGTTTAGAAACTCATGTAAGTAAAAAATTTAATAGCTAGAGAATTACTAATCCTTTTATATTTAATTCAAGACGATTAATATGATATATGTTGCATATCAAGTCATAGAATTCCCAAGATCAGTATTGTGTAAATGAAGTAGCAGTCGCTGAGCGCAGCCGCAGAGGCTGAATGTTGTTGCTAGCAACATCGTGTACAGGCTTCTTGCGGACGCACTGCTGCTCGGTTAAATGTTTGTCAGACCCACAGCCACTGTCAGTTTGCTGCTCCTGTGCGTGCAGTCAGCAGAATCTCATCCAGGTCCTACTGGTAACACAGCTTCCCATTGTCCAAAGAAACTATCTCAATCCAGTATTTCAGTAGCAATTTAAATAGAACTCAAAGCTAACATTACCAGATTTTTTTTTTTTTAGTTAACAATGTAAAAAAAAGAAAAAAACAAGTGCCAGTTGAGTGTTTTTTCATGAAGCTGGTTGGTTTTGGCTTTGTGAAACCCTTGATGGGATGGCGTGGAGAAACGCACACTTCTGTCGGTGGCGACTTCTTGGCACTTTTCGCGTGGTGCCTTCCAGTGCTACAGGCGACGTCTGCCACAGAGTAAATCTTCTTGACAGGAGTATTAAAAGCTCCGTGGCAGGGGGATGTTGGCGTTCTCCCAGAAGCACTTGGTTGCTGCATTTCCTAGGACTTTGATCAGTGATTGCTATCTTGGCTATCTCCAAGCAGCAAACAGCTCGTGCTTCTCCTTAAGCCCTCTTTCCAGACCTGATGATTAAAATTCCTTCCACCCTGCTAGATGATGTCTGTCAGCAGGACAGCGAGCATGCTGCTGTTCAGGAACAGACGTCCACGGGCTGCTAGACATTTTTGACATGCCGTAGTTCTGACACACAATCAGTTGGGTTGGAGTTTCTAGTTGTTCTCATCTCTCACTGGCTGTGGTGTACGTTAAGTGTCAGCTTCTGTGTTTCTCCCTCCCGTGTTACCAGAATGTTTGTTCTAGTGCTGTTTAAAAGAGGAGAATAAAAGTTAAAAAGCAGTAGGAGAATTGAATTCTGACAAATAGAAGCTGATTTTAATGGCACATTATTTAAAATCTTAAAATGGATTATTGATTAGTGTTCAGATAAGCTCCTGTTCTCCAGAAGTCTGTGCAGTCAGTAGCAAAGTAATGGTGCTGAGCTGGTGCGCTGTAACCCTTGTGTTGAGCTCTCCTCTCCTCCCTGCGTTTGTAGGCTGAAGGGAAATATAAGGACGACCCTGTTGACCTGCGCCTTGATATTGAACGCCGTAAAAAACATAAGGAAAGAGATCTTAAACGCGATAAATCCAGAGAATCGGTGGACTCAAGAGATTCAAGTCACTCAAGGGAAAGATCAACTGAGAAAACGGAGAAAAGTCACAAAGGCTCAAAGAAAAAGTACGTAGGAAACCTAGCAGACATTTCCTTCTGCCTTTCCTATTTCTGCTGTTCAGGTTGGAGACGACATTGTGTACATGCAGTTGTACACTTTTTGACATAACTGCTCCAATTGTTCCTCTGCGTGTCTTCTTGAAATCATTATATCTGTCTGAAACACTAAATATTGTTAAAGGTAAATGAGAAGGCTCCGTGTGTCAGAGTGGGTGAGTCACCTTTCCTTCTTGTTCCTGTTGTGTCAGAGAGAACAGCAATCTTTCAATGGCTTTGCTTTAAAGTCAGTTTAATCCTTTTCTGTTAGCTTAATTTTCTGTTTGACTAAAACTGGGTAGATGCATGCCTGTCTCATAGCAGGTGGTGTAAGCACCTTAGAAAGACACAGCAAGTTCTTTCTGGAGAAGCCTTGGGACCTGTGTTAGGTCTGCGTGTTCCGGCTGATCCTGAGCTCTCACCACGGGTTTTCCTTTCCGTAGTAGGAAAAGGAGAGGGTTGCATTGATAGGGGAGTGATAAAAGGTTCTGTAGCAGACAAGTCACAACTGGGTTATTAACCCTGCTGGTGTCCCCCTCACCTGCATTTCCTCTCACCGAAACAGGAAACACCGAAGGGCGCGTGAGAGATCCAGGTCCAGCTCGTCATCTTCGCGCTCCTCTCATTCAGCCAAAGCCGAGGAGTATCCCGAGGAGACTGAGGAGAGGGAGGAAAGCACCACAGGCTTTGACAAGTCCCGGCTTGGGACTAAAGAATTCACTGGTCCAAATGAGAGAGGAAGAGCTAGAGGGACCTTTGTGAGTGTTCTCCACCCCCCTGCCTCAAGTATTGATTCCCAGTCTGTCAAAAAGTGGCCATTGTGTATTGCTCTTTCACAGTTAAAGCGTACCGTAAAGGAGAAACTCCAAAAGCATTGTCTGGTTGTGGATGATGAGCCAGAGTATGATGGCTCCAGGTCTGGAGCACAAACCAGGGCGCTGAGAATATAGTCTGGGCAGTGGAACGCAAGATGTGTGGAGCAGAATCAAGCCTGGAAGCTTTTGTCCATTAGTAATTGCTGAGCAACCCCTGGGCAGCGTGATATGCATCAGACAGTTTGGGTTGTGCTGCCGAAGTGACTCGTCTGGTCGCGGTTCTCACGTCTCAGTTACAAAGATGTCTCATGCACACTGTATTTGTCAGCTGCTTCCTCTTGGGCGCTCTGGAAATGCCGCGCCATGATCTTAAACAGCTTCATAGAACTGTGTTGCACTGTGTGACCAGACGTGCTGGAAAACCAGAAAGCACACTGAGCTCTTACTTTCCTGATAGGTTAAAGGTGTTCGTGGGTGGTTGGAGAAGTGATGATGTATCTCGGGGTAGCCCTGGAAGCTGTCTGGGGGTGGGAGGGCACTGCCACTGCAACCATTTTAATTTTTGTCCATGTTTTGCCGTTGCAGCAGTTCAGAGCAAGAGGGAGAGGATGGGGCAGAGGCAACTTTTCAGGCAACAATAACAGCAACAGCGGTGGCAACAACGACTTCCAGAAGCGAACCAGAGATGAGGAGTGGGATCCAGAGTACACCCCTAAGAGCAAGAAGTACTACTTGGTACGTGTCTTAATGTGTGTGTACGCTCCAGGTGCCATCTAATCCCCAGGTTAAGGCTTCATGTGACACTTCTTCACAAGAAGCTTCTGGCTTCTGACTAAAGAACTTGTTTCTGTTTGCTGTGGAGTGGTTTGCCATTAAGTGAAATCCTAAAGGCCAGTTCAAGAGCATGTGTTTCACGGCCCTGTGGAAAAGGCAGCTTAGATCTGTTAGGCTGTGGTGCAGGTGGCCCACAGTTCTTGGTTCTGCTGTCCTCATAGTGTCCAGCTTCCTGGAGGGGTTGGTACCATTCCTTTTTCTTTCTGGCAGTAGCAGCCTGCCGTACTAGCAGGCGTGGATCTAGGAGAATCCTGTGTGACTGTGTTCTCTGAAAGAGGGATAGTTTTAAACAGACACTAACTCCTTTTTTCTCTTTGTGATTTGGGGTACCTGAGATCCATCTTCTCATTACATAGTGCAGTATTTTGGTCTTGGACCTCAAACAAGAAAGTCTATGTTTTTTGTTTTTAGTTTGTTTTTTTTTTTTTACTGCATTTTTTCTGGTCTTGTTGAAGGCTGAATGGTAATTGATTGGGGTTTCCAGTCTCTCCACTGCACTTTATGCACAGCAAGGGATCAGTCTGAGCCCGGTGACGTGGTCAGTGTCAGCTTGTGCCAATTGCATCTGCCTGAGCTCATGCAGAGCATTCCTGACGGCAGCACGTGGTGTTCAGCTCCCTGCGTACACGGCAACAAGTGCTGCAGCTGCCAAAGTGGTTTGATTGGCAAAAAAATAAAGGGCAAGTCCATAGAATATCTAAACCATGGAGTTACAGAACCACAGTGGTACTCCAGGCCCTGGAAACCCCTCCCCTGCCCACTCCTAAACGATCTGTGAAGAGCCTGTGCAGTGCCGCCAGCCGCTGCTCTTCCCCAGAACAAGCCGGGGTTTCTCGTTAGCCGGCAGACGCACGGCGATGGGGTTTGTGCTGCAGGGTTACACATCACCAGCCACTTTCCCTGCTCTTACCCCGTGAGTAGTCGGCCTGTTTCAGCTGATGGTGTTGGCTTCCTCCCTCGCAGCACGATGACCGGGAGGGCGAAGGTGCGGACAAGTGGGTGAACAGAGGCCGTGGTCGCGGTGCTTTCCCCCGAGGAAGAGGTCGCTTCATGTTCCGAAAGTCCAGCACCAGCCCCAAGTGGGCTCACGACAAATTCAGTGGAGAAGAAGGAGAGATTGAAGATGACGAAAGCGGAACAGAAAACAGAGAGGAGAAGGACACCCTACAGACGACGGCCGAGTAGCCGCGGGGTCTGCGTGTCTCCTGGAGCCCTGCAGCAGAGAAGGGCTCAGCACCATGCTGGAGATTGTCAGGGTGACCCCGAGTGCTGAGCAGAGCCCCGGAGAGGAGCTCTGAAACAATCCTGAAGCTAACTGCATTTCCAGAGTTCAGCCTCCCTACGCGTGGACGAGAACCGATAAACCATTTATGCTTGGATCCACTCGTGGAGTCTATCTTCCCAAAGACTTACCTTCTGGACTGGATAAGGTCAGTGCTGGGTGAGATCCTGGATTTTCTCTCGTCTGTGACCTTATTGAACGGTCAGTTTTGTGGTTTGGTTTTTTTTTTGGTAACAGGCTTCAAAGCCTATGTGGATTTTGGTTTGTGCCCATCTTAACCCAGTAGTCTTGACATTTTTGTTTCTCTTTTATAATTTGAAATAGCAAAGGTCGGGATTAACTCGCCAGCTCAAATTTTTTTCCCCTATTGTGTATTCAGTTTTTTAAATTCATACTCTGCTTATTTTAGGCCTTTACGTATGTAGTACCATCAATTAAATGATAATTTTGGAAACTATTTTTGGTTCTTATAAATAAGAGAACAATGAAGCATGTGAATAAACATCTAAATGTTAACTTGTTGGGACCAAACTGCTATGATTTTTTTTTTTAAAAAAAACTTTTTTTATGTAACAGTTGAGTTTAGGGCCTTTTAAAAACGAGTGTTTTCCTTTTATGTTGAAAGTTAACAAAATTAGCATGGAAAAAAAAAATCCACCACCCTCCTTTTCACCACTGTTTGTGTCCACTGTTAGGCCTGGTGTGTGCTGGAGTCCCCAACTGCTTGTAGGCATTTTGTGTACCCTCTTTGCAGCTGGTTGTGAACCTGAGTGCTCTTTCCAAGGTAACATAGTTTTCTAAGAAACTTCAGAATTCTACTAGGCTAAAAATATAAAAGGAGATGAGAATTTTTCAATATTTTTTATTAATCTTTTTTATAAAAACAAAAGGCAAACCCCTCCTGGGCTGGTTGAGGACAGCCCTTACGGTGGATTTCTTTTTACCTTCTACCTAAAAATATTCTGAAGAAGTTTGCGAACCCTTCTCTGCCGAGTCAGTGAGCCTTCCGATCAGGAGAGGCATGTCTGCGCCCCGGCGCTGCGTGTGCACGTGCTGTAACCACACCGCTCGCCCTCTCTCCCCAGCTCTGCTCCCCTCCAGGATTGCTGTGCTCCTCCCACACACACCAACTAGAGTTTGGTTTGACTTGAACAGTTCCTGTTTAGCAAAGCCCTGAAGTTTGTTTATGCAAATAAAATACAATAAAATAAGTAGTAGGTGTAACTCTGCTTTGTGTTCTGAGTCTGGGGCTGTGGCACCAGCCCCTTGCCTCCTGAATTAACGGGGGAGGGCAGGGGACCCCCCAGCCCGAGGGACCCACCCACCCGGGCAGCCCCGGTGCTGCTGGGCAAACAGAGGAGCGGCAGGAGGACATTCCCACGGGCGCTGCCCCTGGGACAGTTTTCTGGAGTTGTTCTTGCAGGCGCAGGAACCAGGCACCGTGGGGGATTTGTTTTGCCCTGAGCCTGATCGCTCCAAGTTGCTAAAAGTCACTCGCCTGCTGGTTTGAAGCCATTAATCAGCCTTTTGGCCCCTTTGTGGTGGCAGTAATGGCACGGGGCAGGGAGGGGGGTGACACAGACATGGGCCACAGGGATTGTGTCACCCTGAACAGGAAGACCAGCTGCATCCCTGCTCTGAACCCAAGCTCCTGGCTGGAGATCTCGGCTCGGGTTTTTTCACCGCCCCTGGTCCCTGGCCCAGGCAGCTGAGCGCCCCAGCCGCGGCGTTTGCTGGGACCGGGCGGTAAATGCTTCTCCATCGCTGCCCCCCCGAGGCAGATGCTCCCTGCTCTCCAATGTCTGGGGATCTGCAGCCTTCGCGGGGAATTGGGGGGGTCCTGCCAGCCCTGGGGAGCAGGTTCCTGGTGCTGTCAGTTGATGGTGTTGGCTAATGGCTGTTGGGACAGCGGCATGGGTTAACGGCTCGTGTTTCCCTTTGCT